AAGGGGGTGGGGGAGGCGTAGGTGGGATGGGGAGAACGGACCAGAATTAGCTCCCAATCCCCACCGTAGCTAAGACAGCCGTAAACTACGTTCTCCCATGATCGTAACCAGTGCCCTCTTCATCCAGCCCCCTCGCAAACCATCCCCCATCGTAACTAAAATATTCCTTAATTACGCCCAACCTTCCCACGCCCCTCGCAAACTAGTCTCTCGCAACCAAACTTCCTCATCATCGTGTCTCCCATAACTAAGTCCCAGCTCTTAACTAAGTTCCCTCGTCCCTAAGGCTCCCGTAACTACGTGTGATGTTACAAGTCCACCGTAGCTAAGTTCCCTCATCCCTAAGGCTCCCGTAACTACGCCTGTCGTTACACATCCACCGTAATTACACATCCACCGTAATTAAGTTCCCTCATCCCTAAGACTACCGTAACCATCTCCCAAGACTCTCATAACTACTTGTTACGTTACAAGTCCATCGTAGATAAGTTCCCTAATCCCTAAGACTCCCGTAAGTTTGGGTAATGTTACAAGTCTACCGTAACCAAGTCCACTCATCCCTAAGAATTCTGTAACTACGCTTAACTAAGTTCCCTCAACCCTAAGTCTCTCATAACTACGTACGACTTTACAGGTCCATTGTAGCTGAGTTCCCTCACTCCTAAGACTCCCGTAACAAAGTGTGACATTACTAGTCCACCGTAGCTAAGTTCCCTCATCCCTAAGACTCCCATAACTATGTTTGATGTTACAGGTCTGTCTTAAGTAAGTTCCCTCATCCCTAAGATCCCCGTAACTACGCCTGACATCACACATCCACCGTAACTAAGTTCCCTCATCCCTAAGACTCCCGTAACGACATGTTACGTTACAAGTCCACCGTAGCTAAGTTTCCTCATCCCTAAGGCTCTCATAATGAAGTGTGACATAAAAGGCCCATCGTAGCTAAGTCCACTCATCCCGAAGGCTCCCGTAACTGCGCCTGACATTACAAGTCCACCGTAACTAAATCCACTCATCCCTAAGGC